CAAGCTGGACACATCCCAACATAGAAACCACAAGGGCATTTCAACTACTGAATATCTCGTCGACCTACAGTACTTCATCTCGTCCCGTGTGCACGTGGATGCTGGCCAATCCGTTGCACGTCTTTTCATAGACTACAGCAGGGCATTCGACTCAGCTGACCACACTGTCTGGTTAACAATATTCTTTCACTTGAATGCCGACTCAGTCCTCGTTTCCTGGGTTGCGTCATTCCTCGACGGGAGATCTCAACGCATCCGCTACAACAAATCCTTTCCGATTTAATCTCCCTTTCGCTCGGTATATCGCAAGGCACTGTTCTCGGCCCTTTCCTTTTCGTTGCTATGGTAAACGACGTCCAAGCTGATGTTCACATTTTGACTCTGGGCGCATTAAGTTGTGACCCGAGTCATGACTCGCGAGTCTCAGATCAACGCTTGCATTGAGGCTTCAAAATAAATTTTACTTCATAGTGGCACCTCTTGTCAATGTTATCAATCCTGGGTATAATAGTTTTGAAAAGCGCCACATCTGCCGAGAATCATGAGAATCATGAACCTCGAGTCATGACCCGGGTCACAACTGAATGCGCCTACTAGATGACAAATCCATCTTGCTGGCCCATCCAAAAAATCTTCCACCCGGGCTTCAACTTACTCAGTGGGTTCAGGACCACAGTATCAACTCAACTAAGTGCTCTGTGATGAAATTTCGCTTCTCAATCCTCCAGCTAACACGATATTCTCAATGCGCCACTGCTTGAAGAGAGAGGCCTCCGTACGCCTGTTAAAACTTCCGATTCAGGACGACATTCGATAGAATCTAAACAGCAAATAAATTCCCAAATTTCTCGGCAATGTTCATGTTAAAGATATTGAAATCTTTTGGCGTGTATCAGGAGTACCTCTTAACCGAGGAGTAGCTCTCGGACCCGTCGCTCCGTAGATGCCATCGAAGCTGGTGCAGAGGCGTGCTCTGCGCTTAATTCTTGGACATAATTGCAAAAAGGGCCTTATCGATTTATGGACCAGACACCTCCGGTGCCTCTGGTCCATACAGACAGAAGATTTGTTTTCAAACATCGATCTTAAAAATTGCCTCTAGTGATATCGGGAATAAATATTAACATTCCTGATCGCTTTGCAGACCTACAACTTCTCACCACAGCTAAAACTCCAGGAACAACCATGAATCCTAACGAAAACTTTCCATGCACTCCAGGTATCACTTTTGAAACGTTTTATCTCCATGAAGGCGGTGGCAAGGAATTTAGTTATCACCTAGATAAAATCATGCTTCTTCTAGGGCAGTGATACTCGACTTTTTTAGCTGTGGTCGCATACTGATAAGACTAACCTTATCCGAATCGCATTGAAAAAAGACTTATTGGTGCGAATACAAAGTTCCTCTTTACTGAAAAGTACTTAATGCCTTCGCGGACGACCCTAGGCAGGGTCACCACACATTTCCTCCTTTCTGGTTCTAATTTGTGCTCATAGAGCTTTCTGCTGTTGGTACAAATTAGGCAGTTGCCGTTAGTGAACTCAGGGTCTTCTTTCTTTCTTCTAAGATCTTCCTTCACGGTTTTCTTCATCGTAGCAGGCCACACGTGAACTCGTTGACGACACTTCCCTGTCCCAGTCTTTTTCTTTCTGGACAGTTGACAGAACTTTTAAATGATCCCTCAGGTTCACTTTGGTGTCGGATGTGACTCTACACTCCTTCCAGTGCAGCTTCTCCGACTTTTTGGACATAGTAAATAATGTTGTGAATTCCCTTCTTGGAGAACATATAACTCCTTGTCTATAATCAGTGGCGGATGCATACATTTTTCATAGGGGGAAGGGGGGGGGTACCCTACAGTTCCAACCATCTACAGTTCCACCTACCGCTATTCTCCATCCTATCGCCTTTTTCATTTTTCGTCTGAGGTAAAGAAAAAAAAGGATATACGATATATTTCACAGTATATTTCACAGACCCCAATAAAAATTAATATAAGGGCTTTTTAATATAAATAAATTGCGAACCTGGATATAGGGGTGGCAGTCGCCCCGCTTCCCCCCCCCCCCCTGGATCCACCACTGCCTATGATGCACAGAATACGAGTAGTTTTTCCTCGAAAAGGGCAGTAATGTACTCCTTCCACCAAACATTAACTTTTGGATGCATCTCATGAGTATGAGCCCTCTCACTTTCATATTGCTAACTGGCAATATCACATCAGTCGACCAGTAATGCAGCATATTTGCCCAAGACCAATAAAACTTCTATTTTTTATAGAAGTTTTATTTCATAAACTTCTATTGGTTTATAGAAGTTTTATTCTATACCCAAAGGTGTGTATATTTTTTAATTTGATCAGACAACTGATCAGTCAGAATTTGACAACTGGTCAGAATTTGAACTGACAACATAGGGTCAGTTCAAATTCGTATCCATCAAATGTTAAATAACCCTCCGTAAATATTCCGATTGTAGCTGCAATCCAAATACTATAATAGTAATTTGAACTTTCTCATAACGATTACTGATGCCCATGTATGCCCATGGTTCGTGGTATGAAGTTGCACAATTTATCAGACAAGAGTGCGTGCCCAAGAATTATCGGGGAAAGCGGTTTATTGACCGATAAGTCTCTCGTTATCTGCACTGGCACACTGTCTGCTGATGTGGAAAGTGGAGTTAGTAGCGGTGTCATAAACCGCCGACAACGTTGCACGCCAGCAAGATGTCTTTGCAGCAAATTAAATATTTCCACCCTTCATGATACTGTTATGCTAAAATGCTCGAAGGAAGCACAAATATATAATATGCCCTATAGCGCCTGCATGGTACCGTGGTACTCCGGGGAAATAATAAAATAAATATAATAAAATAGGAAACTCCCGAACTGGTGTTGATTTATTTCAAGGGGCTTGATGTTTCGGGGAAGTAAACGCTGCTTTGTCCAGAAGTTCAGAACTAGATGGAAGAAATATGAACAAAATTCAAAGTAGAATAATCCAATAATAAAATAATGGAAATCAAAGAACTCGGGAACTGAGGTCATACAAAGGGTGAGAGGAGTAACAAATAATCAAAGGCGTAAGAATAGGATCGGAGTTAAAAACCACACTTCACTGCACACTTGGACAAGGAACTGTGAAGGGATTGGAGGGGGGGGGGGGAACAGGAAGTTAAGAGATAGAGCAGATATTGCAGTACGGGGGGGGGGGGGGGGGGGGGGGGGGGGGCCATTCTCAGTGATATCGAGGTCAGGCACGTAGCCAGGAATTACTTTCGGTTCTTTCAGGCTCATGAGATGACGAAGTGGCCCAGGAGTNAGGAAAAAGGGTTTAGAGTCCTGGTGTGCATTTACTCGATAGTAAGATATTCGGTGAGAGCATATTTACTCTTCATTCATGATTAATAACTGAAATATTACTTTCATCATCTTTCGAGATCAAAGGCCTAAGTTTGTATCTAACGTAACTCGGAGGTAGAATTATACTCATGATTCCTGGTCGTTTAACGGAAACCCAGGTGTAACCTGAATAGTCGTCATGGCGTATGTTCATAAGGATCATATATTTTGAGACTGCTCTCGCAGGTACCATTGAGCAAAACTTGTTTTATATGGTATCGCTTAATAGCTCTCGAAAAGGGCTCTTCGGTGATGCATCATTCGTTCAAATAGGTTGTAATTCAGGCAAGTTGGATCAAAAAGAAAAGTTGTGACCTGATATTTTTCATTTTTTTGTGAAATGGAATTTTGAACGAAGTAAGAATTTTTTCCCTTTTTTTTTGAAAATGGAAAAATATGCCAGCATGCTGCAAGAATGAACGAATCAAATTGGGACTAAGGCCAAGTTTTAGGGACTCTCCATGTGTTAAACATTGGCCTGTTATTCAATATTTTCGGTTAATGATTCTTGTAATTAAAAGATTCCGTTTTTGAATATATGAATAAATATTTGAAATTTTCTGCGTGCTCCGTCTTTAGATAGACCTGTTCAACAGAAAAAGCGGTGAAAAAATGTCCTAGTTATTCGTTTTCTTAATTCAGCCATGTTCAACTCCGATCTTCCACGAAGCAGATGTCATGGCAGCAAATTAAGGCGTCTGTTCTATTCACCTTCAGAGAAAGGAAATAATCCTAAATTCAACTTCAAAGTGATAATTGAGTTCATCGATAGGAGGGATTATTCTGGCTACGTACCAGACTTGCATCATATCCCGAGATATTAGAGATAAATTTTCGAGATTTTCCATAATTTACCACTCAGGATGGCTTAAGAAGGAAGTTAACCCAGCGATAGCCATATCGACCACACACACTGTCGAAATTTTCATTTAGATATTAACGTCGATCAAGTTAGTTTCGTCAACGACCGGATGAATCCAGGTGTGACGTCGTACTTTTCTTCGGGCACAGTTGCATGGAACGTGTGGTTACACAAGCTGCTGTCTTACTGAATGGCCCAGTTTTTTGGAAGCAGGTTCCCTCATCGATGCCGGTGTCCTCAAGGTCAGCGACAGTATTGCGTCAGTCTCGTGCTCCTATCAGCTTGTAGTGTAGTTTACTCAGTGCGTTTTTTTCGCACATCCTCTTCTAATCCCATTCACCTCCACTCTTAGAAGCTTCCTTTCCCTCGCCAGACGTCTACGCTCTTTCCTTGGAACAACTTGTAATTTCCGGAGAACCGGCATCATGTATGCTTTTGCATCTGAGAGCAGTCCACTTGAAATTTTTATCATGCGGGCCATCAAAGCCCACACGACCTTTCCATATCTGACGCAAGGTCTGCCCAACGTTATCTATATCACATAGATGGTCCTCTGCAAAGCCTTGCCTCCCGCTTCTCTCCCTCTAATCATACGACCATTCGGCAGGTAGACCTCCTCCAGCCAACTATATCACCCTCCTGACCTATAAATAGATTACTCCTTCCTTGGATGTGATCCATACTTTGCAAAACCATTAGAAGTCTTCCTTTCAGTTCCAAAATGCAAACCTCAATTCTGTTCACAATTCCATTTTATTCTCACTGGTGCAACAATCTACAAGAACGGGTAGGGAAGAAGACATGGCCAGATCACCTATAGAATCACAAAAAAAAATAAAGAAAATTGGGTAATTCTTACAAATTTCAGTTCATATCAGTGCAGCTTCCAGTATGATATAATGCCATGGTCCAAGCCTTTGATATTCTCCAACTACCAGTCTCCAGAATATATAAAATATTGCAACGGCCACAGATACGGTACCTAGAGCAATGGGGACAGTGAATTGCCCATTGTATGTTTGTTTTTGCCTTCAGCCAGGTCGCAAGGCCTTTCAGAAAGTGAGAGAGATAGGAGCCATGTTGACTCCAATCTCTTGAGCTGTAAATAAAAATGCAAGAATGAACTGAATGGCAAAAATGAGAGTCCTAATCCTTCTTGACTGCTTAATACATGGGACCAGTCCTCAGAAAATGAAGTTCTTGATCTCATCATAGAGTACTAATACTAGGGCACCACCAGTGCCTCGGAGGACGTTAGAGAAAGCCCCCTTGAAGAAAGCCTTTCCTCCTTCATTCTTGGCAATCTTTCGCCAGCAGTCAATAGTGTTCTTGTACATGATGTCTGCACCCTTGCGCCCTGACTGCATCATCATTCGTCGCCGGACAGTATCAAATGGATAAGATGTAAAACCAGCAACTGTTGTCACCACCTGCCATAAATACATAAATTACATTCCAAAGTGCACACAAATGCTTCTTTGCCAATACAATTGAGGAACTGGAGTGCTATACCTGAGCAATCATCCAAGAAATGAGAATGGGAGTTTTCTTAGGGTCAGGGAGCATTCCTTTGGCTGTGTCAAAGAAGCCAAAATAGGCAGCTCTGTAGATGATGATACCCTGGACTGACACATTAAATCCACGGTAGAGACCATGCAAGCCATCAGACTTGAAGGTCTTGGCCAAACAGTTTCCAAGACCCCTGAATTCACGGTCTGTTTCTGCCTTTCCAATATCAGCGGCCAACCTATAATAAGATATTGCTCATTCTAAACTATCTATTAAAAAAAAGTAAGCCACTATTTTCTAATATCTCCACCCACAGTCATGTGCACCCCACATTTTCTGCACATCTCAGATCAATAAGCTTTCTGCTAAGTTGGAAACAATTTTCAGCCAGCACTTCATAGAACAACCTTAAAAATTGAAGCAGTGAAAATTTTGGTAGATAAGTAATTATGCTACTTTTAGTCAGGTAAGCCACTTGGGCAGGCTCAAGCATGGCTGAACAAAGACAGCAGGCAGTCTTGATAAAATTGCTTTTTGTAAACTCCATGTTATAACAAGTGCCTTGCATTTATATTAGTGAGTGCTGGTTTATTTGACAGGGTACTTTTACTTAAGTTTCATAATGTTTTCAGTAAAATTACAATGTTCAATATGGCGCACACTAAAAAATAAAAGAATCAGACTTGACACCAACAGAAAAGCAACCAAGAAGCAAAGAAATTGAGAACATATGAAAAGAGGAATAAAAAATTGGATTGTGACCCACTTCCACTTGCACTTGCAATGCTGGACCTTGGCAAACTGGTGCACTTGGAAAGGAACTGTGCAAAGATTCATCATTCACTGCAGATTTTATATTTCACTTTTGCGTTGTAAAAGCTGTAGTATTTGAAGAACTAAGCAAACATTTTTTTAAACTATACATAAATATTCATTATTTATCTGAGATGTCACATGCAGAGAAACATGAGGCTCACATGATACTGGAGGTGGTATTCTACAAAAAAGTCTGACATTATTTTGAGCAAATGCAGAATGTCACTAACAGGCAGAAAAGTTCATGAATCAAGTGACCATAAAGGTGGAAAGGCATTGATTCATAAGAGCATGGTAACAGTGAAAGCTCTAAAGTATTGTGGAAATGAGACAATTTGCATGCAGTGATAGGGCTTCATTGCCATAAAAAGATTAGAGATAATGAATTGAGACTATGGCATTAGCAATGTCAAGAAATTTCAGCACATTGATAAGTTCTCAAGATTCCCTTCATAGCTTTAATGCAAAATAGGAAGCTTTTAGGAAGTCAGCACACACCAGCAGGCCTTATAGGATGAAGGGGATTGTCTTACCGTGTTCGAGCATAGTCAAGAGGGTAGACAAAGCAGAGTGATGTTGCACCAGCAGCACCACCAGAAGCCAAGTTCCCCAGGAAATATTTCCAGAACTGTGTTCGCTTGTCAATACCTTCCATGAAAATCTGCTTGTACTTGTCCTTGAATGCAAAGTTCAAAGCCTGGGTTGGAAAGTATCTGATGACATTTGCCAAGTTGCCTCTCCAATAGCTGAGGAAACCTTGTTCTTTTGGAATGCGGATAAAGCAGTCAATCATCCCTACAAAAGAAGCAGCAATGAAAATTATAATTGGAACAAGGCCTCTTTCCAATGAACATAGTTTACAGTTTGGCATAGGTATACAATGCCTAAGAATTATGTACTTCTTTCAGTGCCTTAACACAAGAACTACCAGGGAAGTCATTATGACTGCTTGCTGATTTTTAATGCTCTTTGCTTGTTTGGCAACTAAGGGTCTCTGCAGTTTTAACTTTTCTATCTAATATTGCCATTTTGAACATACAAAATGACACCTGGAAAAAGCAAATAAAATGTGATAGAATAAGTTTTATAAAATTTTTAATGCAGCAGTCAAATTGACAGCTCCAGTAATTCTAGTGTTGAAATTAGTCGACAATAAGACAAATCCCTTCACATACCATACATAGGAAATAGGACCAAAACAAGTCACGAGTGACAAGTCAACCGTTCCATTTAATAGGAAAACAAGACTTTTATGAAGCACCATCAATTCAAGTGGGTGACATGAGAGCCACACAAAAACAGCAAGCCATCTCATTGGTTGTCTAAAGCTCAAAAGTTAATGTTGATGAGGAAACTTAAGATTGGGCTTACTTACCATTATACAGGGTGTCCAAGAAAGGTGTAACATATTTTACCATGCTATCTTTTTACTTACAGTAAAGATAAGCACATGCTGCTTTAACAAATCACCTGACTTTTTTTCATGTTGTTTCACCAGATTCTGCCCCTGGTGCTGCTAACATAGTATCCATTAGACTTGGCATCTGTGCAAGAAGAGACAAAATGTGTGTATAGTTGAAATGGTATCAATTTGAGGAGACTGGTAGCATGGAATGAAGGAAATAACCAAGTAGGCCTAAAGCAAGTGAAGACAACCAGCATGTCTCCTGTGAGCAAAGTCCACTGTTCATAATATTTCCCACAAATATTTCCATTTCAATATCTATTTTTAGGTTGGTTACTTTCTGCCATAAAACTCATGAACTCTGATAAGGGACTTGAATTCAGTAAACTACAACATACACTTCACTTTTTCCCCCACATAGATGCCATGTCTGTGAAAGATAATGTGCTAGCAGTGCCAGAAGCAGGTGAAACTAAAGTTCAAAATAAAATCTATTAAATGTTATTTTATAAAAACAGCATGAGCTTATTTGTAATGAAAGTAAAAATATAGCATGGTAAATTGTGGTACACCTTTCTTGTACATTGGCAAATATACAATTTCAATTTTAAAAGAAACCTAAACAGTGGGGTATCCACAGCTGGAGAAAATTGCCTGGAATCCTGAGCCCCATACTAGGCAGCTACACATGGCCCTCTGCTTGAATTTGTGTTTTAGTAAGAAGCAGAATGAGCCATGGTAAAAATGTAGTGTGAAATGGGAGTCAAGAAGGGTCAGACTGCCTTGGAATTTGGGATATGTTTGGACTGGATGGTTTCAATTAGGGATGTAACAATATTATATCAGTATTGGTTATCGGACCGATATTTACTAATCAGATAAATATCGGCATTCCGATATTTTGCTTAGTCGATATTCGATATCCAAGTGCATGATGACCGTCTGCTTCACTCAATATAAATGCAACATAACCACAGAAACATCCAGTGATGTTTCTGTCAGTATTTTTATGTAGTTACAGGCCTACCTCAATAGCATTAGGCGCCGTGAACGCTTCCCTGAATCCAGTTGTCATACATCAGTACTCTACACCATTCTCGCTGAAGGGAGTCTAATGATATTTGACACCTCTTTGGAGGGAGAGAGACTGTAAATTTAAACGGAATTGGGAGTCAGTACTACGCCTACAGAAGCAGGCACCATGACAGCCATAATAGCAATGGGATTCTGCTCCACTTAAATGATCCGCATGTAAGCCTCTGAAGTAAGATGTACCTAGGTATTTGTTCGTCTTGTGAAGTTATGCCGCAGATCTTCATATGCTTGGCACTGGAGCAGCAGATGTAATTCATCCTCTTCTTGCCGACAGAAGGGACAGATATAATTCTTCTCATCTCCTACACTCGTTAGTGTCTTCCATTTCCATGTTCCCAGCCTCAGGGTTGCTATCTGGGCTCTCACGAATTTGCTGTCAGTCCTTGTCACATAAGCTTCTCTTGAGAGTGCCGTCTTCATTTCTGCATACGTCCTCATTACGCCCTACCTCATTAACATTAGGCGCCATGAACGTTTCCCTGAATCCAGTTGTCATATATCAATACTCTACACCATTCTCGCTGAAGGGAGTCTAATGATATTTGACACCTCTTTGGAGGGAGAGGGACTGTAAATTTAAACGGAATTGGGAGTCAGTACTACGCCTACAGAAGCAGGCACCATGACAGCCATAATAGCAATGGGATTCTGCTCCACTTAAATGATCCGCATGTAAGCCTCTGAAGTAAGATGTACCTAGGTATTTGTTCGTCTTGTGAACATCACGAACATCCCTTCGACACACGGCCTTCGCTTTTCCAGCATCAGGGTTCTGAGATTGCCAGGATAAACGCTATGCACCTATTACTCTCTTCCCTTAATCCTGTGATTCTTCCGATTGTGATTGACTAGTTCTAGAAGAATGAGTGTGGCATCCTGAGCAATTGACGTGGCGCTCGCATGTATATACCAAGAGTGACTAGGTAAGGCCAGCATAATCTTCGCTCTTGGGAAAACCTTGAAGCTTTCGGGATCAGGATTTTTTTTTTCTCTCTTTAAGCCTGCATGATGATCCAAGCAAATATAGAAACAGGAAGAAATACGTTTTCCGCAAGTTGTGCACTTGAGATGGAGCCAGTAACAATGAAAGAAGAAGCAAAAGTTCAGTCAAGGTTTGACTTTGCAGGAAAAAAAAAAGCCTTGACGAAAATGCCGCCATTCTGCTGATTCGCGCACAAATCGTTCATCAATGCAAGCAAGCATTGGGGGCTTCAGGACCATGTTCCATCTCTCCCTTTTCTTGCCCTTTTACGTCATGACCGGCTGGATATGATCTTACTGGTTGACCAGACGCCGAACACGTCTCCAAGGGTTGGGGGATGAAGCAGAAACTGTTGATCATTAAAAGCTGAATGGCGTTTCGAAACGTTGGTTCTCGCCTAATTGAACAAGCATGCACAAATGCAGAATGAGAAGAAAGGGATTTGACAGAAATGGACGAGGGGAGGGTAGCGGGTATGAGGTTGATGGGGAAAGATGGGACAACGATGGTGTGCGTCTTCCGGTTCTGTTTGCAGGCCGAACAAGAACCAATGCATGCCATTTAGTTGTTGGACTAACGTTAAACCTATGTCTAGGCCTACATTACTTCTCATGAAAAAAGTATTAGAAAAGCACGCCAAGATGATGTACGGTGCCAAAGGATGAATCTGTCGGTCATAGAAAGATTGAGCTTGGCTAAGGTGATGACTCGCAAACGGAACGGTGAGCAGAAGTCGTGGTATGCCATTGGGCATTGGTCCAGATACTAACTTAATTTGCTTACAGAGACCTAAGAAAGAGAATTGAATCAGTTTTTATTAGTGTGCTTAGGCCTACATATCTAAATCGGTCCACGATGGGAAAAAATTCAACTGCCTAAGGTTGTGAGGAAGGAACCAATCGAAGTTCTTTCTATTGAGAGATTAATGTTCCAATATCTATTATTGTTTATTTACCTTGATTATTTGCAATTTTTAATTGATGAACTACTGGATTTCTTCCTGGATTTCAGAAATATTCCTAATGAGTGTTGACTGGAATTCTCAAAAAGCCCAGTAAATGAACTCTTCTTCAAAATTCTTCAACATTGAGTACTAAGTGAAACTACACCCATGATTATTTGCAATTTTTAATTGTTGAACTACTGGATTTCTTCCTGGATTTCAGAAAAATTCCTAATGAGTGTTGACTGGAATTCTCAAAAAGCCCAGTAAATAAACTCTTCTTCAACTTTGAGTACTAAGTGAAACTACACCCTCCAGTGTTATGGAATTGTTTGTAGGAAGCAATGAACCAGAAGGAAAAAAAAAACTTGTTTCCTTGACCTCTTTTTTTTTTCCTGGATTCTTGTTTGAAAGCTTCAGTCAATATTTTTTCCAATAATATCGAATATCGATATTGGTTATCGAACATTGGAATACAAAATATATTATTGGAATATTGGAAAATTCTAATATACATCCCTAATGATGAGTATGCTCATCATAGCCATTCTCTCATTATGCAATTGATGAGGTACACTTATAATGGGATTTGAAAATATGGGACTGTCATTCACTACCAACCCAGCCTTCCACCACTCAGCAGAAACTCCCCCATTCAGTGGTTAGCACTCTGAGTAACCAGACTAAATGCTCTTTCCCTTGTGACAAATCCTGGCAGGGGTTGGTGATGTACTTTCAGGAAGGCCTGATTGGAAACCCTTCATAAACTTTCCAAGTTCACTGGAATCCCATAGAGCAGGGCTTGAATGAGGTAAGATGCAGGAATATTGTCTCTTGGACCTCAGAATCAAAATTGGGATCAAGCAATGAGTATGACAGAAGAGATATATACTGATCAATCTCATCACCTCATGATGTGCATTAATGAGGATGGATGGAAAATGTGATATGCAGGAGGAGGGGGAGGGAAAGAAGGGTAAAAAATGATGACAGAACAACTGATGATGACATGACTCCTTATCTTGTGGACTATTTCTGAAGAGTGAAAAGTACTCTTTGTTTACATTCCATTGCCTGTTGTCTGTGCAGATAAGACTTCAGTGAGAGAATTTTTCCATTTGAGGATACCTCTATTGTGGAAATGATTAGACAGAAGTTTTATGTTTCAGAATCCAAGATGCAACCCTGGTGTTCAGCCTCATCACCATCTTTCTCACCTTCGCAAACACCTATGTATTCCAGTCAGGTCTCATGAAATACCTCATCTGGGCATACCTAGCTCCTATTGTCATCACAGCATCATACCTTGTTCTTTCCATCACCTATCACGTTTGGAGCTTGCAGATCCGTTGGGATGACACAGAGGTCTATGCCTGGACACCTGGTCTTGTTGCACTTTTTGTCATCCAGCGTTCCTGTGAGTCCTTGAATTTTGCTTTCACTTTCATCCCATTCCACCTGGGTTAGTCTTGAATTTTTTCCTTTTAGTTTCTGTCCTGTACTATTATTTCTACAAGCGGACTGCACTTCGCATTGCTGACCCAGTCTACTATTCACCTGCCCTTTGGAGGGAGAGGAGACAACAGTGATACATTTTCAGGAACCCTGTCCGTCCAACGCTGATCTCATCTGTCCAAACAAGTTTTTATTTTTTTCCACTCTTAGAGACATGGAGAAAGTGCATCTTTGTGAATTTTTGTTATACTTTCAGCTTTTTATGTGCCTCGCTAGTCTCTTAGCTGTTATTTCATTGCCATGTAACATCTGACCTTTTTTTTTTTTAATTAAAAAAAATTCTACCCAAACAATCCATGGAAAATCATTGTCATGAATTTGTGCCATACATAGTACTGGCTCATTGCACCAGATTTGGGTATTCATTCTAGTCATTTTTGTAGTCATGAATCTCACAATAAAGGCATCTTTCATGAGTGGTTACTGACTATTACTCTCAATATACTCTTCAAGACATAGGGTGAGACAGAAACTCAAGGAGAGTCCATGCAATTGCACTACACAGAGCAGCTCAGTCTGCATCTTCAGGTGGGATTCCTAGCTCCTCATCTGTCCATTGAGAGGGATCTGGATAGGGAAACTCTGTCTGAAGCAAGAAATAGAAGAAGGGTGATGAGTGAATGTAGTAATGAAATCATTTTCATTCAATGATAGTTCAATTTAAATTCCAACATTACACAATGCTACAAGGAAATGCTTATCTACCAAGCACTTAGCCCCATCCAGGAACAACTTTCAGCAAAATGGAACCACAGTCGACTCTGCATAATGGAATATTCCTGGGACTAGCAAACTTTATTATATAATCTGAAATATTCCAATAAATGAAACTATCTGCTGTATCATATTGTAAATCAGGACTGTGCAATAGTATTTCAATAAGCAGAGTATTCCATTATACAGAGTTAACTGTACTTCAATTATCAAAACAGATGCAAGGATGACAAAATTCAACTCTAAAAGCATAAAATGTGCTCTACTTTTACTTAAATTCAAACAGTCACTTATGGAATGAGTCACTCAATGAAGTTAATTCCTGCTGGGGGACATCACAAAATCAAATTAGCTTATATTAAATCAGTCAGATGCAGGTGACCCAAAGAGAAAATGACATAACTGACCCAGAGATGGCCATAATCATGGTAGAGGTGATAGAGGATCCAAAACCAGAAAAATGTGCCAGCAGCCTCAGCATAGTTGACAAATTTCTTTGGAGGATCTCGAGTGTTCGTCCGATATACCCATCTGCCAGTAGGAAATCAAGCATGTTGACACTATAGGGCAAGGTAAGGGTATTTTATCCCATGTGATTTCGTCATGACATACTACTGAATGTTCCCACTCTCCTGAACTTACATGAGTGCAGACCCATGTTAGGCTGTACAGAACTAGCAGAAAAAAAGTTAAAATTAGGCCAACATCAGTGCAAGTTTCCAAATTACTTTTACTCCTTTTACATGTGCTCTGTACTTTTCCATAAGCTCTACCATTCAGTTGTGAAGCAGTAATTCCCTGGTTTGAGAAGGGATGTTGCTCTGTGAGTTTCACTCATCAGTACATCCCTTTGCAATTAACCCTTCCTTTGGAAAGTCGACCCAAGGAATTGTTGGGCTGACTTTCCATTTACATCTCAAAACTCACCAGTAAAGGGGCTAATGAATACTGCAACTATAAGGTGGGTCTACTGTACCATTGACAATGGAACCAGAGAAGGGTGGTAGGCGAGTAGAAGTCCATCTGAAAATACTGTAAATTCATCAGACACTACAGCTAAATGCAGTATTTGGACAGTCCTAACACTGTGCAGTGAAGATGATAGAGAAGAGATACAAAGATATGTACTTCTCCACAAAGCCCATGGACTCATATGTGAGAATTTTTAAAATCTACAATGCTTAAAAATTCCATTGTGGTTGGTTTTGTTGAACTATCAAGAGAATCAGGATAAAACTGGGCGCTCTGTGATGTGGGGTGGGGAGAAGCATGTAGTAGATATCAAGTCCCATGTCACTAGTGCCTTTAACACTTTCCATGGTAGCGTCTCCATTTGGAGACACTATATGAAGTTTATTCAAAGCATGTAGCAGCATTTGCAGCAAAGATTTGAGGGAAAGCAGAAGTCCAATTACAAGAATGAACTGTTATTCAATCTGGCATATAGAGAATAGTCTCAGTTGCAAAAGAGTTTTGACGAGTTCAGTACATCTCTGACTACTCCCATATTAATTTGACATGGAAAGGGTTAACCCGGCAGGAGTTAGGGTGGGGTATTTTTTTTTACTTAGAATATAATTACACTGGTCAGAGTCTCTCATATAGGACTAATATGCAGCAGAACGTACTGACAAACAAATATGTAGTGCTTTTATTTTATTATTTCCCAACAAAACGCTCAGAAATGTGTTCCCTCTCAGTACAACTGAAAAGTTAATAGACCTGGGCCACAATCTGAATTGAACTATTGCTACTAATAGGCGTACGCCTCGATATGAATCGAAGGGGTCCAGACTTCATTCTGAGATGAACTATTGCCTTGAATAGGCCTAACGTTAAATCTCAATCTAATGCAAAAACCTGAATAGAGTGGACCTACGTGTCGAAGGGAGAATGTCCGCCGCCCCTTCGTGCCACAGTTGTCCCTAGGCCCCTCTTCAAAGAAGTCTGTAGGGGATGTCTCAACCTCCACAACACCGATCCAAGCATATTTCTTTCTGGCGAGAAAAAAACCTAAGCCTCCAGGCTGTTTTATCCTAACTGCTTTGTGGCCGTGGACATATTGGAATTAGACTGTATAACATAATGGCGACATGCATGTGGAGTTGGAATTGTCTGGTGCATACTCGTCTCGTCACACGATTTTAGTTGCAGTCTTCCCGTAGGGATTCGCTGCTTCTTTGCAATCACATGTTAAGACTATATTTCCTAGTTTTAACCTAAGGTATGGCAGATTTCCTAACTTTACTCCAAGTGTTGGGCGGTAATGAAGTAAATGTAATGCGTTACAGTAGTTTAAATTTTACAGTGATTTCAGTGGTAACGAGTTACTTTCTTGTTGCTGACACCACTTCAGGTGAAAGTGACAAGTGCTGTGTAAACAATCAACCTTCCCCTTCATTGAAATCACTTACAAAGCTAAGAATGCAGTTCAACAAATGTGATGTACCCCAACCAGCCAGTGGTGCTGTGAACAGGGTCATTTCAATTTAAACTAAATTTCTTACTATAGTTTTAGGAAGCAAAGAGAGGATACAACACATGCAACTGCATTGCATGCTCAATGCTCCATGACAGACAAATGTTTTACACCCTTGCATAAAAATACTGAACTCTATTTCTTAAGAGTTCCATGCTTCTGCACCAGGGGTGCACAACATGTGGCCTGCAAGGCCCTTGCCTGTAGTTCGCCATGACCAGTGGCATTGTAAGAGCTACAGTGGCTCCTGTCCTGTTGGCCACAGCTATGGTCAACCAGACTGTGGCTCACAGTAGGTGAGTAAAAACTGCAAATGGCCCTCACAGCCTTTTGAATTGGGCACCCCTGTACTACACCTTGTATAAACTGTCCCTTAGGTGCAATACAAAGCTAGGATGTATATAAAATAAAATTTAAGGCCAGAATGAAAACCAGTTTAAATTTGACAGAGGGGGGAAAAGTAACTTGTACTTGTAACAAGGGGTCCCAAGGGGGGCCTCCAAAGGGCCTCAAAGGGGTCTTTGGCTTAATTTTGCCCCAGGCTCCTGGAAACCTCTGAGTGGCCCTGCTTGTAACAACCCAGCTTAAAATCCCAGCTGGAAACAGCTATAATTTACAGTTGGATCTCAGCTGTAAATTCAGACCCATTTCAACTGGGTAGCAGCTGGAAAGTAGACAGATTCAGATTGGTTCCTAGTTGCAACAGAAACAACTGAATTTCAGTTGTAATTTCAGCTGTATTCCAGCTGTCAGGTCCTCTGTATGAAATTCTAACTGGAAATTTCCAGCTGGAAACAGCTATTAACACCAGCTGTATTCCAGTTGGAAAATTCCAGCTATAAACCAACTGGGATCTACTATTTTCCAGCTCTTTGCCAGCTGGAAATGGTCTGAATTTACAGATTTAGTCCAGCTGGAACATTCCAGTTGGGATTTTAAACTGGGAAGTTACTATTGGTGAGAAGGATTTATACACATAATAATTACTTCTAGGATGGAATACTTGTCATGTAACTAGTTACTTTTTTAATCATGAATCGTCAGTAAAATTAATACATTAATCATGTTCAATGCTTACTCCTTCCTCCTACAGACAATGCAATTTATATTCCTCTGCAGGTGAATAGAAAAAGTGGAAACTAAGCCTAATATCAAGGTGAGAAGTAGTGATTTTACTTTCAATTCATAACACCGTTAGCATTGCATAATGTTCAAGGTAGCACTGAGTGAAAGTGAAATCTCTTTGCTTAACAAGTGTTGCAAAAAAGACAGGTTCATGTGGCTTGAAGCTGCTGCCACACATCACTTTGAAACATTAAAGCCAGCACATAAGCACATGCCTACCAGAAGTAGATAGTAGGAACAGTAGGTTGTCCCACTAGGTTCATCATGTCACCACCCCCTCACTCCTCATCAGTGTTTTGCAAATGAATTCTTACAACCTTTAACATGGGCTCCATAGGCCCAACATCATTTCCATCATAAGTGATATACCTTCACCCCCTTGGATGCATTATAAAAATATCCTTGCACCATGTAAAAGGTGGTATAAATTAATATGTGAAGCACTGACAAGGTAACATCTCTATTGTGATTATCCTTCTTTCTAATGTTATGCTGTTGCTTATGCCTTTGTTTGGCAAAATGTACTCCCCTTCTCATTTCTCTTATTTCCCTAGTTTCATGCATCTTCTGGGTGAGAGTTTCAACCAACAGGCTAAGGCCTAGCCAAAACACCTCCCTACACCCCAAGTTCTAGCTGCAAAAAGGTCATGAGTGTGATGACAACCCGTGGAAAGCTCAAAAGAATACAAGTGCAAACACTAGATTATTGAAAACTGAAATGATGAACTGTATACAGTTCATTACCATGTCATCATACAATATACCCTATAAGTAGATCTCTGGAAGGTCTTGGAACATGGGGGGACATGTTCATCTTGATCAGGTAGTGATTTTCCACACATATACATCATAGGCTTGTCTGCCTGTGCTGCTCCTGTCCATGCTGGGAGACTATAATGATCAGGACACCATAAAGCCCTGGCATTTGCAAGATACAGATCTTGTACTATGCCATCTGGTCACATCAGACATA